GGAACGACAGCGGAAATTTATATGGAAAAGTTGCGTCGTTTCATTCGCTTCGAACGCAACTGGCTGCAACTTTTCTCGTTCTAACGTTTACGACCTCTGGAAGAATTTAAAGCGTCGCTAATCGAAAATCGGAAGAATTTAGTCGTCTGCCGAGGTGCCGGGTTCGAGCTCGAGCAACGGGTGTGCGCGAATATCGCGTATCGTTTGATCGACGGCGAAATGGTTAATGGTCGATGGTTAATCGCGAGCAGGTACGCCATCGATTATTGACAAATATCGTGCGAAACGATGCACCTGGCGCTTTTCCTACTTCGGTTTTCTACTCACTGGTAGCCTATCTATTTCGTTTCTCGAAAAACGACCGAGTTTCCTCGAGCATCGGTTCGACTGGTTGCCTTCCGCCGTTCCTCTCTTCCTTTCGTTCGACACACACGTGCGCGCACGAGACTTTCGTCCGTTTACTTCGACGAGAACGGCCTTACGACGGTCGTGTTTCATCTTATTCGTATTCCGGACAGTTTCGTCGTTCTTCTCTTTTTTCCATTGGACCGCGTTGCTTTGCCGTCGATGCGAAACGCAAAGTAGTTGGGTTTTTAAATAGATTCGAACTCGTCGAACATCGTCGAGCATTTGAAATTTACTCGTCTCAAAGCTACTAGAATCGAGAAGATCCGCCTACCTCTTTCGATCACCGATCGAGGGCTTTCGGTCCTGTCAGCCTGACGATCAACCTTCGGGAAATCCAAAAGGGCTGCAGCGCGAAACGGACCGCGCGATTTCTCGATCGTCGACGTCACCGTCGGTCACCGGCGACACCGATCTAGCGAAATCGTCGCGATCGGCGCGTGACCACCACGACCACGCGTTTCATCGCGTCCACCGTTTCCCTTTGCAAACGATCGCGAACGATCGAACGACGGCAGCAGCGGTAGAACCGCGAGGCGCGAACAGAAGGTGAAGAGCGGAGACAACGAGGAAATTTCGCGGGCGAGAAACAGAGCGTGCGCGATAGGAAGGAACGCGAAGCACGGACGGCTGTCGCCAGCCGACTGAACGTCTCGTCGCGCCGGAGAACTGGAAGAACGGCGCCGACCGGAGGTGGACGAGGAAGAGAGGTGGTGGCTTGCAATCTCTACCACGCAACCTCTACTCTCGCTCCGTGGCTGCACCGGCAATTCTGCCATCCACCGTCCTCTGGACCATCGAAACAATCGGCCAGGAACAGGCGGGAACCGAGAGATACGCGACACTCGCTACGATCTTCTCGGTTTTCCATTGAAATTTTCATCGACTGGATCGTAACGGATCCAAGAACTCGCCACCACGCCCGATGGCCGGTGATCGCAAAACTAAATTCAAGGTAGACGTACTTACGCGTTTGAAAGCTGCGCGAGCGAACCGCGGTAATACGGCCGGTATATATATGCACGCGTGGTTATCGTAAACGGGCTAGTTTGCTCTTGACGCGTCGATATATTCTCGCGAAGAAAGTCTCTGCGGTTGAAACTGAGAAATAGCTCGCCATCCTCTCGTCTTCCTTTCCTCTTATTCTCGCGACGATCTTCGTACGTCGCGCCGTATCTCTCCGATCGACCAATTTTTTCGGTCTCGCGCGACTCGCGTACCACGTGACCGAACCAGAAAACATCGCCGGTAAAAAGGTATAATCGGAAGAAAGAAGAGAGAGAAAACGAAGGATCGTCCTAAGTATCGATTCTGCTTCTATCGATTTCGAACGCGTACACGTGTACATCGATCGGACATTCGATATCGTGATCGATCGACTCTTCGTTTAGAACGTGACAACAACGCTCGCGAACGCTTCAAACTTGTAAGTATCGTGCACGCAATCGAAATCCGTGACCATGGCCACGCTTCTCTATACTTCGGACCAACGCCAACTATCTATACGCGTATGCGCGCTAGATAGAATATCTCTCTATCCCTGTCCCTGCCCCTGCTTATCGGCACGAATTCATGCGCGACCACACCAACACACGCGCGCCGCTCTACCGGCCTATTATACGTATTATTAGCACTCCGTCACGGTCCTGTCATCGGCATGTACGCTCCTCTACGTGCGCGCGTCATCGCGCCGAAATTCCTGAATAACCTCCACACCGTTTTCCGTACCTCTATCTTCCGTCAATTTTCAACGGGCCCCGTTTCCCACTTTTCCTTCCGTATCGAACAAAGATCGTCGCCTCGAATCCGTACGACGTAACAACGAGTCATCCCTCCAATCGTAAGAAATCAGAGTCGCATATATCGTTTCTCGATGCTTACCGACTCGCGATTATTCGTAGAGAAATGATGAGCACGACTGTCAGTGGAAGAAAGAATCGCGTCGTGCCCGATAATCGGACGTGTTATTGCTATTCGCGCGCGATTGAATTGCGTTAGGATTTCGACGCAAAGTTCGATACGTCGGACGAGTAATCGTAAGTTTCAGCGACGGCTGATGCCGTCATTCGCAGGCAAACGAATCTTGCGTTTTACACGCCGATTGGAACGTACCGATGCGCGCACTCGTAATTTACGACTTATCGGCTCTGATCCGAGTAATTTTCGCGCTTGTGAAAATTATACCGACGTAGCTCGTGTTCGTCCAACGAATTTCCTCTCCTCGCCCTCTCTCGCTCTTTCTCTCTCTCTCTCTCTCTCTCTCTCTCTTCGTTTATCCCTACCCACCACCTCCCCTTCCCTCTTTTCGCTATCTCACTCACTCTCCCTTCCACCATACCGTGGAAGTGACGCACAAAATCGCGCTGCCGGCACGGGCTGGCTTGTACCGAGATGTCGATACCACGAAGAGCGGATGTCAATAGCACGAAGTCACTCCTTTCGCGAGAGAGAAACCGCGTCAGCCGATTTTACAGCATTTTCGCGGTACTGTGTAGAAAAACGCACAACCGTATTGTTGCTCGATCGACGATCCCCCGATCGGAATATGCGTTCGCGTAGCTATCCGCGAAAATCGATCGCGCCACGAATCCAACTTGCGGGATGAAAGGGCCAACTTTTTAACGAAAACTTTTCCAAACCTTAGTTTTCTAAGCTTCTGGAAACTCGTGTCCGCTAGAAGCTGCACGCCGCGCCGCTCGTTCGCCGGATCGACCCTCTTGGAAACGTTCGATCCGGACCACTGTTTCTGACACCCTTCATCGAGTTAACGGGTATGCCTCGGTCGTGCTTTTCTATTACTTTGCGCCGCTCAAAAACGGATTCCGCTGTGTCCGTGACGCAGAATTATCAAGATCAAGTACAGTCTTGACGACAAAGCGTTGCACCACGAGTGCTGGTGCATGCAAACTATCGCGACACCGAAATTTCCATGTCTCTCGCACTTTACGACTCTTTCCATGCCGTGCCGCTCTCAACAGATTCAAAGAGGCTCCTTCTCCGAATAATTACACGACTAGCTTCGTTGTGTCTCGCGTTCACAAAGAACGCGTATTGTATTACGCTACGTATACTTGCTATACAGTCTGGCTGCTATACAGTGTGGCGGCGGTAAAAACGAGAGCGACTATCGAACGAAACAGGTGAGCCGGATAAAATTAAACAGCTGTTTCCTCGTTTTACCGAACCATCAGCAGCTTAGCTTCTTCTTCCTGGGCTCGCGTCCCTCTTTCATCCGCATATATCACGTATCTTCTATTCGTTTGCTTATGGTTTGTCCGACTGAATCATCGTGAAGCTCTTGAAATTCTCTCGCGTGAAATCGATTAAATCAATCGATTCGTTGTTTTAAAATGTGCCTACGATCATGTCGGTTAAACCTTTTCTATGTGTCTTTCATTCGATATCTTACGATACATCTTTACCGTAGTAAAATATTCATTTGAGTGTTGTTTCGAGTATCGAATTGTTATTTGTTCATACAATGTAAGAAGTTGAATCGAGCATCGCATAGTGAAAAATTGTGCTCGGAAAATTTATCATCTTATTTTAAAATGCCGAAACGTCCTCGAAAATGGAATAGAGCGAGAGAGAAGACGAGAGAAAGAGAAATTGAGAAACGGATAGAAAACAGCTGAGACGCAGCTGGTTTCTGGCATCGCGACGGCTGGCGTCTTCCGCGCGAAGAACGTCGCGCCTGCCTTCTGTATATACGTGCATATGTGTGACGTGTGTGTATAGTACAAACCATCCATGGTAGAAAGCAGAATCGAAATCGCTCCTCAAAAAACATATTTAGAGGAGAAACAATAAACGATTTTGAAAAGTTTTACAATTCGTGTCAGAAATACGAATGAGAAAAATATAGAAAGAACATTTATGTAAAAAGCAGAGGAATGTTTACATTAAAAAATTAACATAGATGAATTGATTCCGTTAATAAATTTCACTTCAAAAAATGGCCTGTTTTAACGTATATTCTTTCAATGGCCCGTACCTCTAATGGACTCGTTGCCTGTCATGGTCCTCATCGGCACCTGTTATGTATAAGTAGAAACGCCGTCCTAACTATTCGAGTGTCGATATTTGATACGACGTATTGTGCGCGATAATTTGCAACTGCTGTGTAAACTGACTTCGTCTATTAATCCTAACGATATTCGCGCGCGAGACGTCCAGCCAGACTGTCTTGTTCACATCTTTACCGACATCTCTGAGCTTTAACGAAAACTACGAGTCACCGGTAAAATCGATGCCGTTCGAACATATTTCCGATTATTTCGTTTCGTTAGAAAATATACCACTCTCCTCGCAATCTATCCTATAACACGCATTGTACTTACCGCTACGAAATGATCGACTCTTCTACAGTGTACAAATAATACTTTATTATTTCGTCGACACTGACAAAATTCACAGATTTGCAATTTACAAATATGTATACGGTTGCGCGTACATCTACTTTTGTACGTTGTGTATAATCGAAACTTTCCAAATTTTCATAGCCGGCTGCCACCGATGGAACTAAACCGTTATTGTCGGCTAACCATTTTCGCGATAACGTTAACGTATAAAATATCAATCTTCTCTTTCCTCTCTTTTTATTATCGTTTTTTTTTCTTTTTTTGAGGGTATTCTTCTTTTTTGTAGTCTTCTAATTTTCTAACTCTGGAACAAATGCTTTAACCAGTATCGGACGTGCAGGACGAAGTTTCGGCGTTACTGTGATCGTTGTTGCTCTCCGTTGATGAACTATCGTTGCTCTTTATTCGTCGTTTCCGCAGCTTTGCAAATTGAAACTCCTCAACCGGCACTGTACATCAACAATTGAAGTCGGTATTAGTTTCGTTTACGTAATTAAATAACGTATTCGGGAAAAGGAACGACCTCGTATACCCTAACGAGTGGGAAATAGATCCAAGTAAATTACGTCTAACAAAATCGAAATATAACATTTATATTTTTTTCTTTTGTTTTTTTCGTACTATCTCTAAAATTCATTTCATTACAGTGTAACTCTTACGTTACAGCCATAGCGAACCGAAATCGCTTTAAACCAACTCGTCAAGCGATACCTTTCTGCTACATTTCGATATCTAACACCCTGCTATCACACGCATCTATCACATACTATGGCTGTAACATGTACATAGTTTTACGCTAACAACGCTTAGAAAGGAATTACCTATGTACCTTTCTACCACAGGACAATAAATACTGACTTAATTGCTTAATATATATCAAAGTGTTGCGTCTCATTGGCGAACCGTTCGACAATAAGACACGTGTATTATTTACGATACTTTTCATGTTTCTTCAAATTTACAGAAATTTCATTAACTTTATGTACTACACACATACACACACATATATATATATATATGTGTATATATATATATGTTTCAATTCGGTGTAGAAGTCGCCACGAAACACATGCGATGTATATTATACGAGTATAAAGGATTTTTAAATAAAAGTGTTGCATCGACCAACTGATCACCTTCTACTGATCAACTTCGTATTACAATTTATTTATCAAAAAGGATTAACATTGTTGAATATCTTCGCTTATAATTGAATATGTATAATGGCTGTCATTATACTTCATTTATTCACTCATAATACTACATACTAAAATTTTTGTCTAACTGAGCGAAGAACATTAAAAATGATCGTACAGATAAGTACACATATCACAAATACAAATGTCGAATCTCAATAATTATTTCGTTTGGTTCAGCGAATGATTTTAAAAAAATTTAATAAAGGAAATAAAAAGAATAAAAAGTAGAAGCATCGTAAAACTTTAACGACGAATAACTTGTCACAATGTAAGTAAATTTCTTATACGGTAATACGATTACTTGTACTGCTAGTTTGGTTACCATCAGAATCTGGATCTCGATCCATAACGGTATTAGAGGCGCTTGGTAGTGGTACTATTTCAGGTTCAAGCGGTTTTACAGGGCAATCTACATCTTCGACGATTACTTCTTCCGCTAAACTGCTTCTTACCGCTTCTATGTTAACAAAATATATCACGCTAACATATCATCAACATACCATTATTCACATGTATGTTTTTAAAATAGATTACACATATATGCTTACCATTAAATGCTTGTGGATATTGCTGACTCAGTTTGTTCTTTACGATACGAATTCTTTTGAAAATATAATCCAAATCTCTCTTCATTTCCACCAATAATGTTGTGTGTTTTTTAAACTCATTGCCAGCAGTCTTAAATCTATTTATCGACAACTGATTGCAGTTGGTCAACATCTCGTTGGTTTTTTCAAACCTCTGCAACCTGGGAAGCAATAACTTAGTTAGTACATAACAGACACAGTAAAAAGATATTGCATATACACTGGTACTTGAACAAATATTTGGAAAAGTATTCTTACATTTGCTTTTGTGCTCTTATCATAGATTCTACATCCTGTTGATCAACAATTCCAGCCAAACCCTGGATAAATACCTCTGGCGCTGTATAGTTTTGAAAGCATTCAAAACTTCCAGTATCAGACTCTGGTGTACCTTGTGCCGTTGCCATCTTCTTTCTTTTTTTTTTTTTAAATCTCACATAGTATAAATACGATATTTGCCATGTCTTTCTGCCTCAATCAAGTACTCTAATCATATTGCTTCTTTCTATAATAATTTACACGGTAGAGTGTACATTTTATTTTTATAAATCTTTATCCAGTTCGCAATAATAATTGTAGAGAAACAATGCTGACATTATTATGAATTAATTATAAAGGATCGAACTGTAGTTAAATGATGAATCTATAGACGAGTAAGCAATGTAATAACATAAGTTTTGTTTGCTTAAAGTTGTACGTCTTTTTTTTCAGAACTTTTGTCACATATTAACTCAACATTAGCACGATATATACTAAACACTACATGTGTAATTACTGGAACTGCTCGTTCTTGCTGACTTGCTGATGATCGATGATACATTTACTACTGTATTTACATGGCAGAGACGTCACGTTTCAATTTTACACAAAATCGAAGGAAATAATTTTTTAACAAATAACTTTAATGTTCGCTTTTCAACATGATTTTATATAATCGAATTCACTGTGTTTTCAACTGAACTAAATGTATTACGTGGCACGATAGTACATATTAAACAAACCACACGCTTCACCTTCAACAGCTGTTCGAAGTCAAATGTTTTCAAGAAGGTTGGTAGAAGATTCAGCATTCAAATTTCCACAGTGACTGTTGTATCCCAAACCGAAGGTTCGGAAATCTTGTGCAGCAAATAATAATTCGAAGAATCACTTGTGTCTTTCGATTCGGAATGGCACAAAATATAAATCCATTTTATTCGTCTCAAAATACTCCGAGTAAAGCTGCAGAGGAAAAACAGAATATACCAAAAGACAAGCATGCAGTTAGTAAACGGTACGCCAACTTTTTCGAATATTTAAAATACACAACTGATCTTGCTCCTATATATTATTTATTTAATATCATTTTTTTTAATCTATAACCATCCCAGATTCTTTTCACTTTATACTAAGAATTTCATATAGCAAATACGTATCTTAATGTAATAGTAATAGAATACATAACCTATTCACAATGTTTGAGCGATTGATTTAATATTAGCTGGTTCTTAGATTACATATAAATATCCTCGAGCATAATTATATTTTATGCTAGATTTATCCATACAATCGACTTTTTCCTATAATATTAATAAGGCCAAATATATGCGTATAGATTGCAAAAGGAACTCATGGTTTTGATGACGAGCACAGAAAAAGGTGTTTCTGCCTTTCCAGATGGAGAAAATTTATTCAAATGGATAGGAACTATTACAGGACCAAGGGATACGGTAATAATTGCTCTATTTATAATGAAAATAGTAATAGATACAAGAGAACTTTTATTTTCATTTATTGTTGCAGGTTTATGCTGGTCTTACATATAAATTAACTTTAGAATTTCCCCATAGTTACCCATATAGTGCTCCAATTGTACGTTTCGCTACTCCTTGTTTTCATCCAAACGTGGACGCAGTGGGTAATATTTGTTTGGATATATTAAAAGAGAAATGGAGCGCTTTATACGATGTGCGTACTATATTGTTATCTATACAATCTCTTCTTAGTGGTAAGTAACTTTGGATCGATGTTATGCAAAATGCCGACAAACAAATATCACAAACTCCGTTCCTTCTTTTAGAACCTAACAATGAGAGTCCCCTCAATCCACAGGCAGCAAAACTATGGAACGATCAGACAAAGTATAAGAAACATTTAACAGAAGAATACCACAGAACTTTGAATCGCGATCAACAAGATTCATGATAAGGGTATTTTTATAATGATCATGGCTTGTTCATTATTTTTATTTCTATCAATGTTACATCTAGGTATAAGATATAGAAAAACGAACTGCACCGAATTTATGTACTTCATTATAGAAAATTTCATTTCCTATTATCTTTTGCACTCGTATACCCTATCATGCAAAAAGGACATATAAACACACTTTATATTGTTCATCGCGATCATATTTGTTATATAATTTCGTCAGTCTGTCTTGAAAATGTATAGAAATTTGTATAATGCTTTTAAGACTGTATGCGGATTAAACATTTTTATATCGTCAATTTGTATCAGAAGCTTTTATTTATTTTTATTTTTATTTTTAATATATGGTACATTGGATATATTTTACGGTTTCCATGCATACGAGTGACAGTGATCATTGACGTTACATTATCGATAATTATTGTATATTTAAAAAATAAATATTTTAAACACTAAAATTATGAAATTCATTATACTTTCGCAAACTGTTTTGTTCAAAAATAAATACGTAACGATTTTCGTACGTTTAAGTAAAGTCGTACTATTATATAAAACTGTACTTAACTGATTGATGTTAGTCATCTTCAAACTAATAGATATTATTATTTTATCGAGTATAATAAATGATCTGTTATGAGCAATTGTAACAATATAATTAAAATGTAATGCAGAAAAACAATGAAGCATCCTAGCCCCGTTATTTTATGAGAGCGTTGAATTATCAAATATACATTTTCGTAAAAAAAAAAAAAAATGGAACATAAGAAGAGTGTATTAGTCTCGAACGTACTCGAAAAGTGTGAAGTACTTTGTAATAACACCATGCAAGTATATATTATTGCCTGATATTTTTTCTTCTCAACATAATATACACGCTGTCGTTAGAATTATCCTTATGCCATAGGTACTATAGTATATATGCGAATTGGAAAGTCATCTATTTTAAATATTAAAAACATCAACAATTAATAATAGTTACATAAGCGCGATGCTTGAAGAAGGAAAATAAGAAGTACATGTTTGGAATGAAAAATATTTTAGAGCAACGTGAGAAGTTTAGGAAGAGCGAAGAATATCAAATGTCCTATATTAATTATTTATTAAAATACATCTATATAGATCCGACGCTTTGTTCAAGAAGATACTACACGTTCAAAATATCACATTGTCGAATCAAAGTACCAAATGCCCAATCATATATATTATTTACAATTTTACTGTTTCATTTATTAGTAAGTATTTAAATGCATAGATTCTTAAGAAAGTTTAAAGTCGCTATTTATGTATATCGGTTGTCTTCTCAGCAGTTCAATTATTTATTAATTAATTCGAAATAAATTCGAATTTGAACTTTTATCGACGATTCGTAACCCATTATCTACGTAATATATTATACATACGGTATTATACATAATAAACGTATTACATGGATAATGGTTTACGCAACGTATACCATTGAAATCTAAGAAAAATGTTTAAAGCAAATTCAATATCTCGCGGTACTATCACGTAAGCAACATCACATAAAGACAGATCGGTGAATCGGCAGAGTCAACAAGAAAGTCGCCAGCCATGCTGGTGATGTTTCATCGAAATTTCGCTAATATATTGTGGCGTAAGCTTTTTTCGATGGATAAGTACACGGTACTCTTCGACGCTTCAAGAACACGTTTTAGAGGGAACATATACATACGTATGTATATATCAAAATACGATTACAAATTGCGATAAAAGTTGTAATACTTTTCAATCGGAACAAAAAATTAATGTAAATGGAATCAACATCAATTACCTGAGAGTTGGTACGGCTGAACATCCAGTTTTGTTTTTACCAGATGCCTTAGGTAAGCAACTATACAAAAATTATCACGTTCAACACAATTGCGATCGTGCTAATTGTATTTGGCGAAGGTGCTGCTATCTAGGGATAGGGAATTGATTGTTAAAAATATAGCTAAATAGTCATAGCCTCAATCAAATTCAGCATTTGAACGATACAGTTTTTTCGTGCAAATGTATGTACATACATATGTTTGAAGATAATTTTTCGAATATGTCGAAATTAAGCGTTATTTATTATATTTCAAAATAAAAATTGTTAAAAAACTCGAAACGAGAGACACGTCACTAATGTAAATCTAAAATTGAATTGTAATACCACGGTACAGGTTCGACTTGGACGACGCATCTTAAACCATAAATAGAGGGATTGGACGATGAAAAATTTACTACGGTGGTATGAGATCCTCCGAGCTATGGAAAATCAAAACCACCCGACAGGACATTACCAAATGATTTTTTTCAACGTGACACCGATTAAGCATACCATTTAACGAATGTTACACAATATTTTCATTGACAAGTTGGAACGATGGTGGTATCGCGGTTCGTTTCCATGTTCCCCGATAATGTTCGAAAGATGGTAGCCGTTGCTGTAAACGCCTATGTAACGTCGAAAGAAATCAACATTTAGAAAAGTATATCCTTTCACTCTATTCATTGAAAATCAGTCGGCGCTAGCAATCGTTTTATTATCCTTTCGTTTGGATGTCGATAGAATACCAAAATGTAGACAGTTGGTCCGAAAAAATGCGAGCTCCACTAACAGAAATATACGGGGAGGTCTATTTCCGAAGAACTTGGTCTAATTGGACAGATGCAATTTTGAGAATTTGTGGAAAACAACACGGTGACTTATGCAAAGTGTTGCTAACGCGAATTAAATGTCCCAGTTCGATGATTCAAGGAACAAGGACCCTGTGGTACTCGCCGAGCATCCAATTTACTTGAAGGATCACATCGTCGGAGCAAAGTTTGTATCTTATTTATATTACGATCTAATGGCTAACGATGAAGTCGATGATAAATCATTTCAGGTTGCAAATTTTTTGAAGAGGAGCGCATAATTTGCATTTACGATATCCTGAGAAATTTAACGAGATCGTTATCAAGTCTTTAATCGGCTGATCGATGGTTTCACGATATACATAAATATGTGGTAGATATGATATACAGTCTTATATACCTTTTTTTATCTCGATACATTTGTGGTCATCGTAACGTAATATAATAACGTTTTTTTTTTTAGTGAGCACTGGTAATACCTATGATTAATCGCAAATGTTAGAAAAAGCATCCTTATTAAGAGTTCGAACAACGTTTGTTCTACACTACGCTGAGTGCGTGATATAGCGTAAAGGACACACGTGGGATAACCGGCACAGGAATCAAGTCAGAGAAAGGAGCTATGAAACCACGTGGGCGATGGAGGCTTTCCGTTGGCTTACCTCTTTTGACAAGGGACGTTTCCAAATAACGTTTCCGCCTTTTTCATTGAAAATTAATTTCCAAATAATCTTCTCCAAATTCCTAGTTTCTATTCAACGTTATTTTATTCTTAAATAAATCTTGCTTCTCGTTATGCATTGAAAATATGATTGCATTATTATATTAAATGATGTAAATATCGTAATACGATTAAATTTGACGAGAAAAACGAAATTAGCACGGAAATAAAAGAAGAGGCACAATATTGGTACAATTCGATACGAATGTCAAGAACCGCCCAACCGAAATATCCGCAATGCGCTTCGCACGAAAATCGATCGTGTCCCTCGTCTCGGCTACGCCCCAAGGAACCATTTGCCAGGGGTCTGCCAACGATATTTCGCTTTATATCTTTCTTACTTACGGTCCTGGTGTATGTACAATCTATTTATATCTTAAAATCGAATATAACAATACCATAAATAGAAAACGAATTTGTAAAGCGAAACAAATTTGGGTAAAGCGAATCTTTGAGATTCGTATCGAGGCATTGCGCGCAGATAGAAAGTGGTCTTGTGCCACTTATTATGCGAGTGGCTTCACAGTCAAGAATATTCAAATAAATATTCATCGGATATCTACATGTTACTTTACGCTAACATATCTATCCGTACCAAGTACGGGGTAATTGAAATTGCATAATGCACAGATCAGACCTAATCTATGACGATTAAATCATCTGCCAGTTTGAATGATCCTCGAGAAGGTGAATATGCCAATAATGACAATGAGTTATGATAAAACAGATAATTATCACCGTATAATAAAATCTGCTGTCATGTTTGCCGCTTTTTTCAGCATATATAAAATCATACTGGAGACTGTGTTACGTAAGTTCAATCGTTATAAGCAATGAAAAAAGACGACTAGTAAAGGTGACATATAAAATGCAACGGGCGTATCCAAACATGGGCAGACTGCTTCGCGATTCGATCATGTGAACCTCTCCTTATTCTTCAGGTTCTTTTCTCTATCAGGTTCGTTTTGCGCAGCAAATGCTTCGCTATCGATATCCTAAGAGGAGTATCTTTTAAACACAACAAACACGACATTTGGAAGGGAAAATCCTATTGTATAAGAAACAAAATAACACTTGCAAAGTATACGTTAAAAATTGTAATCTCGTTTCGATAGAAACATCGTGTTTTATCGAACAGCCATCTATTCTGCAACAACAAATAGATTTTTTTTTTTTTAGCCAAATACAAATAAAAGTTAAATATATAAATGTCTTTCCCGATTTGGAAACGAGACAGCTTGTTACGATGACATCACCGCGAGGTGTTGCTCAGCAACCGGACTGCCGCAAAATTGGATATTCTCGGTTTTTGATATATCGTCATCGTGCTATAACTAACGTTACCGTTTAATATAACTTAATTGTTTGTTTTATCTTCCTATGCGTCACGTTGTTAGACGCTTAGCACAAAGCTATTAACGCTAAATCGAGTCATACTAACGAGTTTTATCCTACTTGTAATGAAAAGATACGCGTTACAGGTGCAAAATGCTGCTTCTTTCGATATTCGACGAATACGAGATGAGATATGTACATACGTTAGAAATGAGAAGTAGAACGGAACAAAGCAAAGAATAAAACTGAAAATATCGAAAGAAGGCAGGATTCAAAAGAGAAAAGAGAAAAGAGACGATGGAGAAGAACGACCGTATGACTCACAATCAGATTTCGAAGCTACCGTTATCGAGTTGGCTCTCTTGATCCACAGCTCCGGCACTCTGTCCAAAGTAGAAAACGATACCATTTACGGCAACTTGCGGGTCCGTTGTTACTCCTTTTCAGACCTGTATCGCTCGAGATTGCTCGAGAAAGTGGTCGTACGTCAAAATCTTGTCCCCGATACAACTCGACCACCCCCACTGGTTTTCTCATGGCAAACCTTTTGATGTTCCGAACCTTTTCCAAATATATGTAAACGTACGTACAAAACATAAGCAAACTTCAGCAGCCTATTGCAAATATATCATTCTCAAAAGTGGTGCAATTATTGTAATTGAGACAGGGATATACGCTTGCGGAAATATTTACGCGTATTTGTCGTGCACGACGACGTCCTCGGGATCAATAAAAGTTGAGGCGGGGCAAGGTTTGGTCTGACCGTCGCGTCGTTCCGACTCGGTTCTCCCGAGTCGTCTT